CGCAAAGCGGGAAGAAACCGCACACCGAGGTTTCCCCGTCCCACGGGGCAGAGCTTTAAAGCTTTTTTGGAGAGGACGGCTTAACAATGGGAAATGAAAGCACGTTCTCCGCCCTCGCACGCCCCGGCTCGAGCAAATAAGCCAACAGATACGAGCCGTTTGAGTTACCGAGATTAAATAACCCCCCCACCCACCCACCACCCTCCTAATGTAGGCGTGGTACTGGCATTAAGATAATTATATCGCGGTTAATTACCTACTATGGCGCCCCGCAGCGTGCCTTTAATTTCGAGTAATTCCCGTGAGCACTGAGGGCAGCACGTGCGCGTGCATGCGAAAGCGCCCCCCCCCCAAAAAAAAAAGCTCTAGGGGGGCACCTCTTCTACACCCTGTGGGGTACTGCGAAAATCTTGGCAGTGTTCTTGATTGGCTTATTAGAAACGGCTGGTTTGTCATTTGACGACTCAGTCACCTGACGAGCTTTTATCCGGGGGTGTGCTTTTGTGTGCTTTTGTCTATACTTTTCAAGGGAAGCACACGTATCGATGGGATGTGGGAAGTACGAATATTGACGAGGTTCGAATGGCACAAATATCGACGAGCTTCGAAAAGCACAAATATCGAGGAGCTTTTGAAAGCATTAATATCGGCTAGCTTCTGCAAGCACAAATATATACCCCTAGGTCATGCAAACCTTGACGACGTCCATGATTGATGTGCCGGGAACGCGTGGTACGTCATTCGATGGCGTTGTCAGGTGGCGAGCTTTCAGCCCTGGGTGCTTTCCCCATTTTTATCGGTCATTACCAGCAATTAAGCGATGGGGAGCGAAAATATCGACGAGCTTCCGGAGGGGGAGGTTATGTCCTGAAATTTCACAAGAGGTCCCGGAAAGCTCCGAGGTGTTTAAGCATGCTCAATTTACCGAGCTTGCAGTGAAGCGTGTGCTTTGGCATGTGGTATGGCGAACGCGTGGTAATCTTTTACCCGAGGGGAGCTTTTCTGCGATTTGAACGACTCTGCGGTTGACTACGAACCGGAGAACACGCGTTTGCGTACACAGAAGAACAAAAGTAAACGAGCTTTCCGGGGGGAATGTTGTCCGAATTCCGCGGGGGGTCGCTGAAAGCTCCAGGATGACTGAGCTTATCGGATAGGAAGTTTGCAGGTAATTATCTCTTTATGAAGGGCTCGGGTCTTGGTACACAGTCCATGTATTGTTACGCGGTGCCTAATACCAAGACGAGCTTTTAGAGGGAGAGCTTTTTCCCGAGTCCACAGTCAGAGAACTCGGAACCGACTTTCTCGACCGGAAGGATTAATCACTGATTATTACATCTGGAAAAAAAATCGGCACAATGCTTGCATATAATGGCACGAGAAAGCACTGTGCTTTTCTGCAGGTAGCAAGCTCTCCGTTCTGCGGGAATGACGCAAAAAATTCTTTCCATGCATTTTCGTAATCCTCATACAAATCGAGAATTAGCCTCTTTAACTGCATATGTGTTCCTGTAAAAAGCTCTCGTAATGTTCGAGATTTCATTCAATGGTAATAATTACAGGTTGTTGATTAATGCATCTCAAAGCTCGCAGGAGTGACTTTTGCCGTCCGTGTGACCACGGGGAAAAAGCTCTCAGAATCCTCGGAGCTTTCTGCGTAGAGTTGCCGAAAGCCTGAGAAAAGCTCGCGGCTGGTGCACTTTGATGCCGACTTTGTTCCGAGTTTCCCAGCTTGAAACCGGATTAAAAGTTCTCTTGATATCGATAACTGCGGAAGCTCGTGAAAATGGCGGAAGCTCCTTTTAAAATGATGAGCTTCCACATTAACACCGCCAATTTGACTAATTTCAAACAAGACGCATGAATAAATTTAACTACTCTCAACAAACCCACATATCTGCGTTTACTTCATTTAATTACATGTCCAGCATCCTACTCTATTCATAAAAGCTCCTCAAAAGCTCCCATAAAATCTGTCAACTCGATTACTAAAATCCTGATTCCATTTTTGTCGCTGATGATCGACACATGAAGATAAATTTTTATAAAATTAACTTTGACGTACGTCATCCCCAAAAAGAGAGCTTTAACATTTCCAGTAACTCCGTAAGCACAGCTTTTATCCATATACAGATATCCTTCTTCCATTAGATATTGAGCTTTAGAAATCACACGAGTCTTTCACGATAAAAAGCATCGCTTCTCGGATAAGATTAATAATTACTCCGATTGCGATGCTTCTTCTTAATTCCGCTACGTGCAAGCTCACGCAACCGCGGGTCTCTATTGAGCTTTTCTTGGAGGTCAGACGTGCCATTGTCTTCCAGAAAGCCGTCAAAGGACGCAGAAAGTTCGAGGTCGGCCGCCATTCTGGAGCTTTGTTCCGAGCTTCTCGTGTTGAAAATGGATTAAAAGTTGCCTCGTCGGCGCTATCGACGCGCAAGCTCGCCGGAATCGCAAAGAAGGTTCGATTGAAAAGCTCCACGACCACTTGCGAAGTTTTACCGGTGTAAGAAACCCTGGGCCGGAAATTTCAAGAGGTCCTTTCAAACTGAAACTTCTAATGCCGCCATATGTACGGTAAATTCAAATATTAAAAGAATAAAAGAGCTTATCAAAAAAGAAACCCTCATTCATTTATATTCCCTACGATTATACATTGACGATAATATTTAATTTAAATTCCTTACCGAGGAAGTCAATCATCACCTGTGCTTCTGCACTAAGAAAAAGCCCAATGAACCAAAGAAATGTTTTATTAATTCTGAGAATAATTATTTGGCTATAATAAATTGTCATAATTCCTAATAAATATTGCGTTCAATTTATTCCAGTTTATTCGGGCCAAGTAACTATTCTATTGACATAACAAAATATTCTCTTAGCACCATTCAAAGAAACACTCCATTGGTTCAATGAAATCGTTTCCTTAGTATGATCTGTAAAAATCATAATCTTCCTATAACATTTAATTTCCATTATTATTCCGTTCTATATACACATATCCGACATTTCCAGATATATTTCAGTTGCACATTTATATTATAACATCCGTTGGAAATTTTCTCCACCCCATCTATCGAACCCGGTAGTTCCAGCATTAGCGGAGCATTCCCGCCATCGGTGGGATGATTTAGTGGAGCTTTCCAGAAAACTCGAAAGCTCGAAAGCTCGAAAGCTCGAGACCCGGAAAAGTCGGTGGGAAATTCCTGTAAAAGCCCGAAGAAGAAATTCCACGCGTGGGAATTCCGTGTGAACAATGGCGGGGAGCGGGAAAACGAGCTTTCGAGTCGGTGCGAAACGAGCCGAAGTATCTGCGAAAGTATTATTACTATGGGTGCCGTTGTCGGAGCATATTGTTCGCCATAAATAGGAGGATATTCCTAGGGGTGGTGAACTCGCCCCGGAGAAGAGGAACGAAGGAAATTCCAAATTTCATCCCCACGCGCGCAAAAGCTCGCGCCGAGCCGGAGGGAAGCGAAACATTCGTCTACTCGTTAAGCTTAACGAGACGAAAAGCTCTTAAGATGAAGTGAAACCCCCTTCAAATCAGTCGATTCGAATACAATTCGGGGAGCGTTTAATATCCGAATTTCAAAGGCGTTTATTTAATATTTCGTGGAAAACCGGCCGTTTGAAACTTCCCTCGCGCTTCGATATCACCTTCTTGGGCGTAATTGCAGTTTATCGGAGCGAATTTCCCAACCGGTAAACTTTTCTCCCCTTGTTAGTCGGCTTTTCCCCGGTAAAGCTGCATTCGCCGAAGGAAAAGCAAGGGTTACCCCCCGCGAGGAAAAGGAGGCGGCTTCCGCCGCGGGGGTGTTTTAAGATCTTCGTAAATCCGACGGCCAACGAGGATCTGCATACCAAAGGCTAATCCGCGGCTTTCGGCCGATTCAAATGAAAATGCAGCTGCCTATGAATATCATTTCCGAGCCTGGACAAAGACCTTATATTCCGGATTTTATTCATGCCGAAAGGAGGACGCTCGCGGAAGGAGCGACGCTCGATGCGCGGCCTCGTTGCATTCGCAAAAATCGAATGCCTTTGTCCCATCTAGGATCCTTTGGATATCCTAGGGAAAATTCCCCACCTTCTCGCTTCCTTCGAGGAAATTTAGAGCTGGAGAAATTCCCGCGACGGCCCCGGAATTTATGAAGGATTACGAAATACCCGGAACCCCTGAAAATCTTCCCTACCCTGCGCTCTACAGAATTCCTTTTTCTTTTTCTTTTTTTGAAGGACTCTTTCCTGCCACATTTTTCGACCCAGGATTAACATCGGAATTATGCTGAACTAACCCTGCATTTTATAATATTTTTACTGGACGTGGGATTTTACCATGTCTTGTTAATGTCATTAATTCCTATTCTGAGACATTGCGAACATATTTCCATTCGTTAGTGTTTTTTTTTTATGCACTGAATAAATAGTGAACTAGAGAAATATTTCTTCGAATGGTACCCAAGAGATATTTTGTTAATTCGAGGGAAAATTGTGCCACTCAAATAAACTGGAATAAATTGGATAGAAACGTTTCTTCGCAATTGGGTGGATTTATTTGAACTCATTTTCATTTTGAATCCATTCCATTAATGTGGCGCTGAATTTAAATTCCTAAAATAACGAATTGAACAATAAAAAATGAACGCAGCGCGGATTTAAAATTTTAAATCAGCCAACTAATCAGAAATATTAATACAGCGCCGCGTTAAATACACAAAATGGCGAAGTTATCACGGAACCTCTCCGTCTTCGCGTTATACCAATTCCCTTTTTGCTCCTTTTTATGTTTACGATAACGATAACGATTTAGCGACGGTTTGCGTGGTTAAAGACGACCGGGCCATTTTCGGCGTGCTCGGGGACCGGCAAAACCGTTTAGCCGATCCGTTTACGTCGCAAAGTGACCGTTCCGAGGAAACTCGGAATATTAGAGCCGCGGCGCCAAGACCGAAGCCCCAAAGTACTAAAGTTCTCTCGTTTGTATTCTGTTGCAGCGACGGCAGCGTGGCTGAGGCAGGAGCAGCCATGTCCGATAGCAGGTGACTTTTGCATGAACGGCGGGACCTGCCTGTTTTTCGAGACTGTTGGCGAGCCAGCCTGCAGGTTAGTCATTTGCAATTTCACCTGACACCACCCCAACACTATCCTGCATGTTTCTTTCGGCCCCCATTACCGGAGACCCCGTAAAAAGTGCAAGGAAAAAAATCGACGACAATTTGGCTGGCGCGAAAAATTTACTTCTTTTATCCGCAGACTCAGCAGGCGCCATAAGTGAAAAAACGAAAAATAAGGGAAGAAAATCGACGACAATTTGGCTAGCGCGAAAAATTTTCTTCTTTTATCCCCAGACTCAGCAGGCGCTATAAGTGCAACGGGATAAATCAGCAATTTTTATCTCTTGTTAAATGTAGTGATAAAGAAATCGATATACGGCCGAAACGATTCCCGAGAATTTCGCGTTTCAGGAAAATACCGGGTACGTGGAAATTCATTCCATCGGCGTGATATTTTTTTTCCTATTATCAGGGGAAATAAAAAAAAAAGCTCCGCTCTTCGGATGCACCTCCGTGGGTGAGAAATTTCGGTACGCGTTACCGCAAGGAGCTCTAAACCTCCCCGAGTACAGAGAGCAAATATTGTTTCAATGGAGAAAAGCCACGTACGGGAGGTACGTAAACACGGGTTTATATAGGAACCCATCGAATCGGATTTGTTTCACGCCTCTCGCCGATCCGCGTATCGACTCTTTCAATTTCTCCCTTTCTCGTCGCAGGCGATTCCGTTCCTTCCGATGGCTCCGGAGCGACCGGGGATCGATCGCCGATCGATCCCCTGATCTGGATGGCGTCGACTCGGAAACCATTCCGAGCCTCCGAGTGCCGTTTCAGGAAGGAAAAACTCCCTAGGCTGGACTTCTCTCTCTCTCTCTCCGACTCCACAAAGCTTTTCCATTTCCGCCAAGAGGGGAGCTTCTCGTTGTGTCAATATTTCGAGTAAATATTTCCATCGCGACGAAGTCTGACCACTCTCTCTCCCTCTTACTAATCCCGTCGCATCTATTCGTCCTCTTCTAGACTTCCGGGGAAACGAAAAACTGTGGTATGGATAATAAATCTAGGAATAAGACGAAGGGAAACTAGCGGTGGGAAATTAAAACCAGAACTCGAAAATCACGGATTCAATCTCTTCGCTCATTTTCAAAAATTGCATCGCTGGCCTCTTTCTCTTTTTCACTAATTGCATCTATTCGTCCTCTTCTAGACTTACGGGGAAACGAAAAACTGTGGTATGGATAATAAATCTAGGAATAAGACGAAGGGAAACTAGCGGTGGGAAATTAAAACCAGAACTCGAAAATCACGGATTGAATCTCTTCGCTCATTTTCGGGAAATGCATCGCTCGGGGAGGTGCATTAAATGTCTCGTTAATTTCTCGGCCAGTACCGGTGAATAACGGGTACAAATATGACTTTCCAATGCAGTTTCCATATTTCCCAAGGGAGTTCCAAAGTTCGAGGTTCTTCCTGGCACCGATTCGCATTTAAACTTTCATCGGGAAACAAACCAGAAAATGGGATACTAAAAGCAGGTACTAAAAAGGATTTTTTACTCAATAATTCCTACCGTATTTGTTTTTACTAACCGAAGATTTTCTTTAGAAATATACAAATATGCCTTGCTATCATTCCAGGTTAATTCTTAAACTTTCGATTTGCGTCTGACCAAATCGCGGTGGAACTACTGAATCATTTATCAGTCCAAAAATTGTCTCGCTTCGCAATTTCTTCCGTCATTTTGGAATCATCGAATTATTAATTGTACTTTGATAGTGACTTGCTGGATTACTTCTACTCCCAACTATTGGAAACGTCAATAATTAGTGTATAGAATGTTTTGAAATCCCGACTCTCGCGTGTCTCTTCTTCTGCTTCTCATTCACTGGAAGTGCATTTGAAGGGGGAAAACCGACTCATACATCAAGCCTCGGTAAATGTATTGAAATCCCTTTTCATTGTTAAGAGTGTTAAGAAGTGCGGCTGACTATTGCAACCCTCTACTACTTCAAGTGCACTCAACGTACTTGCCTTTTATGTTACTTTCTGTCTCATGTTTCCTTGTCGTCGGGTACATTAAGTTCCCCTTGGAAACAATTGAAACCACTGCGGAATATTCTTTCCGTAAGCCGTGAGAATTATTTACAAAAATTTACAAACATCTTAACACACCTGACAAGGGTATAAACAATTTACAATTCCAAACCGCTGATCATGAACGCATTAATTATTACAATTGGATGCAAGGCGTTGATCGGATTATTCATATCAAACCATGAAACGTAAGTACACTTCGAAATATACAACTTTCAGAAGAGTACACATGAAATTATTTAAAACTTATCTTTCGAGTACTTCATCTGAAGATCCAAACCTTGATTTACAAATACACCATCCCGTATATAAATATTAATACGGCCATTGAAATAAATAACCATATTCATACACCGGTACCAAGTCTGACCAAAATGGCTTCCTACTACTTCCTCTCATTTCAGACGAGTACTTTAATCCTTTTGCACACTCGCAAATGCACATACTCTCTTCAGCAGAGAAAATTCCTCTCATTTCCGACATAAAGAAGAAACTAAGCAATATGACCTAAACGATAACGACCCTTCCTTATCACCTTAAGACTTATTTCTCTCCGCGCATCCGCCACGGCATTTCCACCTCCACTTTTCCCCGGGAAACTACATCTCGTTTCCCGAAGGGAATTGACTAACCGATAGATCGATTTCCGACAAACGTCTAGAGATCTCCTAGCGTGGCGTAGTTATCTTGATTGCGACTTTCCTCGAGTACCAGGAGACGGTCAATTTCCCGTCTGCTCCAGTACGGGCAATCCTTGAGAGTAGAATTTTATCGAGCGACACACGCCGCGAATTGGGAAAAGTGCCCGGCCATTCCGCGATCCGCGGTTAATGGCCGCCGAAAGGCGAATCGGGCCGAACTTTTCCGCCACGCTCGATTGGGAGGCCGATTTCGCCCCCGGTGAACTTTTTAACGGTCTCGGGGAATTCATCCGACGCAATGATCCGCGGTAAGCCGCTCCTCGGGGTAGAAAGTTCCACTTTACCCCGAATAACCTAAGCAAGACCTCCTTTGATTCCGCGCGGAGAAAAATTAACCCCTTACCGCAGGGATTTTTTGAAAACACCGGCCAAAAAAAATCAATTTTTTTTGTATGTAAAAAAAACGAACATTGTCTTGGGAAAAAAATATAATTCTCGATTATATTCGAGTGTGCACAGTTTGGCCTGTTTAGCGCGCTCGAAGAGGTCTCGATCATGAAACTTCTCTCCGAACTGATTTCATCGAATCATTTCAAACTCAACAGTATGAATATGGAAGCTATGAAGAAGGTCCTGAATTTTTTTTTAATTTTTTCACAGATGGTTTTGGTTAAGTTAAAAAATCCAAATTATCGAAGTGTCAAGGCAATTTCGAGGTGCTCACGAGTCGTGTGTCAAAGTTTCAGACGGTTCTATCCAATGCCCTTTAAAAAAAGTGTCTTATTCGAGTCGTTGGGGGTTTCAGTTCACCTTAAGGGTCGTTAAACAAATTCGGCAGTCCCCGTGACGGTGATCCATGGGGGATGAAAGTGGGATAAAAGTGTGCGCCCAGAGGTGGACATCGAATGCACGTATATCGGCCAGGCAGGGGTTGGTACTCGCGTCGAACGGCGTCGCTTGACGAGGGTTTATTGGCTTTATCAGGGAAGCGAGTCTCGCCGGGGAAAAAGGAGAAAAACTGCCAGCCGTGGTTGCAACCCTCCCTGTTCTTTCGGGCCGGCCCCGACGCCGCGATTGCCAATTCCCAAAACCCCGGAAATCCGTTTTCGGTCACCGATCCAACGCCATGGCCGAGAAGCGTCATTAAGTCGAAACCGTCGAAGGTCTGATAAACGATGTTTCTGAACTCCCAGTGTATCAGTGACCTGTTGATGCAGGGAAAAGCGACAATTTAACGGACACTTCATGATCAAGAATCGGGGTTGCGCCTCCGACAAGATCACGACCGAAGTCGAGGCCGGGCGCCGAGTCTCTTTACTACAGTCATGGCCTCAAGGACCATATAATTTCATTTCCTAATTGAAGGGGAATAAACAATTGATTTGCAAAGACGTTAAGGGTGTCCGACTGGAACCCTTTTGCGGGCTCCTTTGAGTAAAACCTCTTATTTTTCACACTTTCCTCCGTTATGAACCCGTTTTCCTATTTTTAATGTTGTTCCGAAGTAACAGGAAGTACGTGGAAGGAAGATGGTAAAGCCGAAGCACGTTATCCTTATACTTTTTTTTTTTTTTATAGTTGACTCGCCAAAACAGGATAACTTCGGCCGGCTGAAGTTTCGCCGAGGAAAAGAGTTAATTGCGTTAAAAGTTACTTCCGCAAGAAGTTAACGGTGTTAATGCACAGTCAATTAAAATTACGAAGTTATAATTAGGACTAATGGAGTCATGCCCCAGGAGGCGACGAGCCGAATCAATTCTTCACCGTTTCCGTTATCGCTCGATATTCTCGCACTTTTCCTTTCTTCTTTTTCTTTTTTTTTTTTTTTCATTCTTGCATCACTCTCTCCTGAATGTCTAATTAATTTCGGGATTTCAATCGAACCCTTACTTTCCAGACACAATAAACCGATTAAACGTTAGACTATGGAACACCGACTTCGCTCATGAAATTTTCTTTCCTCTTACCCACAGCTGAGAAGATATTTTATAAAAATAATTCCTTTCCGTTAATAGAGAGTATATTGAACGATCGGCGAACTGTATTATTCAAAAGCTACTACTTGGTACGAGATAATGATTTATTTAATCCGATAATTCACGAATCGAGGCGCTCGGCCAATTCCGGCCAATTCCGGCAGCCCGGGCCGATAAAAGCGGTCCCTGCGTCGATAATACGCGCCAGATCGGCTGAGTTTATCGGGATACTGCGATACTCTGTTTTCCCCGAATTTTCACGCCCCCGCGCGTTAGGCGCGACCGCGGTTTCCGCACGCGTTTTTTTCCTTCTTTTTTTTTTTTTCCCCCGCCCACCG